AAGTAATCTCTTAATGTAGTTACTATATGTATTCTATTTGTTCCAGCAAGAGAATCAAATATTAATATGCAGGGTCTAAAATGAATGTATTTTATATTTTATTTGGAAAATAATAATTCTTTTAATTTTTTAATTTTAATTCTTTAGAAATACTTACATTTTTACAGTATCATTTTCTTGTAATACATTTTGTTTCATTTTTGCCGATAAATTTTTATTTTCTATTATTTCTAATTCATCCTATTGTAAATTATTCGTAAGATATGCTCTAATAGCTTATCCGACTTAAATTATATATATAAAAAAAAAAAAAATAATTTATGAAACTTAGTTTAAAAAACTTACGTCATCTTTGCTAGTCATTTCCATTTCTTCAGTATCACCTTCAGCTTTATCTCGTTCTGAATCATCATCATCCTGATCTATAGTCACAATGGTCGTTATTGGTTTGAGTGTTGTGCTTCCGATAGTAACAGTTTGAAGTTCTACTTCTTTTAATTTTTTACTTTTTTGTACAATTTTATGAATACTATTTTCATCAGATTGTTTATTTTGTGCAAAAACTTTACCCACTAATCCGGGAAAACAAATAATAGCCAAAAACCAATGAGCACTGTAACATTTTTATACATAAGAATTGTTATTTAATATTTTAATTTAAGGAAAAATAGAAAAAAATGTGCAATAAACAAACTTACTGTTCATTTATAGGAATTATAATAAAATCTTTTTCAAATATGTTGACATTTTTCGTCCACTTTTGAACTCTTGCATGCCTCTTAGCAGCGGGTGTAAGAGACACATTGCTTTCAATTGCTTGAGTGTGTGGACTTGTCAATCGTTTATAAAAATACGAACTAAATACATGAGTTCTCTGTTGATCAAATTCTGATAGAACTTCCAATGTTAAATATTTTAGATAGAAATCTATAATTACATCATTTAAAAATTGATCCTCTCCAAGACATAAATAATCCTCGGTACTAATGGTTATACCACCTTTAGCAGGTGGTGGGGGATATATAATTATTCTGTAAAGAACAATTTAAAATTATATTATCTCTATGGTTTATATGAAAACATTTAAATATATATTAAAAAAATATTTATACGAAAAAAGCTTGTATAATAATTAAGTTTTAGAGAATTTTTTTACAGAATATTTAAAAAATTGTGCGAGAAATATATTGCATATATGTATAGTTACTGTAATGTATAAGAAAGAATTTGACGAATATAATGAATAATTGTTTGTTTTTTTATATATTTTATTACGTTTCCTTACGTTTGTATACTACTATCATTTGAATTAGCTGTTATTTGTGTTTGGATTTTTCTCTTCGATAGATTTTTCTTTTGTACATTCTAAAAAAAATCGAATTATATTTAAAATTTTTTTACTAATTATATTTAAGATTCTTTCAAGTGGTAATTTTTCATATCTATCGAAAATATAAAATATATACATTTTTCGGCGATGATCCTTCAAAAATATCATGTGCTTCTTTCGCATCTACTTCTTCTAATAAGTTTTTTCGCGAGAATAATGTTTTTAATACAATTTTTGATTCTTCTGATAATTTCTCTGTTAATAAAGTTATTCGTTTATGTGTATGATCTATAAAATATTCATATTTTTATTTCACATTATGATATAATATAATATAATATATAATAATTAAATGTGGTTAAAAAATTGATACTTTTTCCAACAGGATCATAGTATGGTCCTTTCGGGTCCTGCATTCCTAATAATTCACGAATCATAGCTGCAGTATTAATAGATGTATAAAAGAAAAGCACTGGCATTGATTTACCAAAATGAATTAGTACTTTTACTATATCTCGAACCTTAATGTCTAATTTTACAAAGGTTTTTTCTGCAATATATGTAAATAATTATATATTATAAACATTTTATGTTATAAACATATAGTAATTAATAAAATAAATACCATCTTTCAATAAAGGTACATTAAATCTTATTCCATTTTGCGAGATTAAGACTCTATCCCGAGGAATATATTTATAAGAGCCTATTCTTACCATTCTACATAACAAAGAAGTATGTGGAGATTGCATAATGTTATCTAAAAGATATTTATCTTTATTATTTTTCTTTCAATATATAATAATTAACCAATATTTATCATTTAAAATTTAATAAATAGAATGTATATATTGTGAAGTAATTATATATATGAAATATATTTAAAAATTACCTGGAATATTTTCTATTTCCGTGCATCCTGCATAATCGAGAATTCTATCGGAAATAGAATTGTTCGTGATTATGGGTTTCTTCTCAAGAATTATATCTATTTCATTACTATAATTATTCGTATCGTTTGAAGATGTATTATTAGGATTTAATCTTTCCTTGCTTTTTTCCTCTTCATCAGATGATATTGTTAAACATTCTAAATAAGAAATGTTAATTTAAAGTATATTTTTACATTCCATTTTATATTTCACAGCATACAAACTTTTAAATCACGGTCATTAAATTAAATTATTCGGTTTTATAGGAAAAATACGATAATAGAAATATTATTTTTTCTAAGATTATTGATTCATGTTTTTCAATATCTTGAATTGAAAAAAAAAAAGAATACAAAGCCAATTTTATTTTTATTATTACATATTTATATAATGCAATATGTAATGCAAATGAAATTAATTTATATATAATAAATATTTTATAAATATGTGATATATCAACATATTCTTCTATCTTCTATATTTAATATTTAAATTGAAGATTAAAATGTATTTTTATAATTATTTTAAAAAATACATTTTAATCTTCAATTTAAATATTAAGATCATAAAGTTTTTTTTTTTACCTGGTTCTTTATGGCTAGGCCTTGATTTTGAAATAATTCTTTTTTTTCTTTTATGTTTATGCATAGACGCATCGTGTTCCAATTTTTCTGATTTTGTTGATGAATTATGCTCATTGTTTGTCTTGTAAAATAATATTAGGAGAATTAACATGATAATTCAAACTTAAAAATATATTTAATGAATATATTTTAACAACATGTTAACATTAACATTTTTTTTTAAATTTACATTAAAATAATGTAGCAATTCCACAAAAATTTTTAAATATTATTATAAATGATTTTATATTTTAATTGTATTATTCATTTCATTTTTAAAAAAAATTAAAATTTACCTTATTTTGTTGTATAGAATCAATATTTTTATCTGGTGATCTGAAGTGATTAATTTTATTATTATAATATTTGAGATATTTTATATAATTAAAAATATATTGAAAAACTTACCTATTAGAATCATTTGAACTATTATTCATGTTATTTTGAAAACTATCATTTTTATCTATGTCAAGTGATGTAATTGTATCAGATCCAATTTTTACTAAATAGTTTATATCTAAAGTAGGATTAGAAATTAATGAAACACTTGATTTTTCAGAAAGTATGATATTTGCCTAAAAACACAAGTAATTTTTTTATCAATCTTTGATTAAGCATTTTTATAACTATTATAATAATTATATTTTGATAAATATTAAAATACCTGTTTCAATAAATCTTGAACTGTACAATCTTCGTGAGGTATCTCAAATGTAATTAATCTCTGTTCACCATTAACAAATATAACTAACATTTTTGCAATATTTCCTTTTATTTGATGTTGAACCTTATTATTTATCAAATTTTTAAGAAAAACATCATTTTCAGAAAACTTATATTCTGAATCACTTTGTGAAGAAGAACATTGTTGATTTACTGAAATTTTCTCATAAATCGATGAAGATTTCAAAGGTTTAGCATTCATTATATTATGTTTATTTTTAGATGAAGATTTTTCTTTCGAAATTTCTTTTTGAAATTGTAACTGTGACGAGGGTAATATTTGCTTTTCGTGTGTTGGATTTGTAATTGTTTTCTGTCTTGTTTTCAAAGATTCGACATTAACAACACTATGCACATTTTTAGATGAAGATTTTTGTTTTGTAATCTTTTTTGAAATTGTGACGAAGATGACAATTGTTTTTGTTTTTGCACGGGATTTGTAATTATTTTTCGTTGTGTTTCCAAAGATTTAACGCTATGCACATTTTTAGGTGAAAATTTTTGTTTCGTAATTTTTTTTTGAAATTGTGACGAAGACAAGAACTTCAATTTTTGTTGCACCGGATTTGTAATTTTTTTTCGTCGCCTTTTCAAAAAATCAATATTCATAACACTAAGCACATTTTTAGACAAAGATTTTTGTTTAGTAGCTTGTTTTTGAACTTGTAACTGCGGCGAGGATATCAATTGTTTTTGCTGGACTGAATTTGCAGTTGTTTTCCGCCGTACATTCAAAGATTCGATATTCATAGCACTATACACATTTTTGGATGAAAATTTTTGTTTTATAATTTCTTTTTGAAATTGTGACAATTGTTTCTGTTGTATTGAATTTGTAATTGTTTGCCGTTGCGTATAATTATATAATGAATTTCGTATTTGTTGTAAAATAATATTTGATAGTCGTTGCAACTTATTTCCTTGCAGTCTTTTATCATTTTGTATCTCTTCTATTTTTGTTCGTAACATTGTGAGCTATTCAAGAATTTGTTGGTGAAATAAAAGCTTGAGATGTAGTGTGAGGAATAAGTAGAAGAATATTTGTCTAGCAATTTATATCATATTCTATCCAATAGGATTAATTGTTTTAATTTATACAATTTTCAAAATGAATACGTGTCTGATTAATAGATGTATTAGCGTTTCATCATTTGGATTCCAATATTATTTTTTATATTTATTCTATTTAATTGTATATTTTTGTTTTTACACTATTTATTGATAGTTGATTTTTGTTTTAACAATCTTTCATTTTTATAATTTAAATTTCGAAAATAATGTTGTAATTACTATAAGTCACAATTATCAAGACCATCATACATATCAAATTTGAAATGAAAATCGAATAATATTGATTCACTTAAAGGTGAAAGATGTTTGTATAGAGTTTTTGTAACGAATGTTATGATTGACAAGTTTATTCCATGATAAGACATCGTTCAGTGAATTTCAAGTTATAATCGTGGGCAATTAAAATGTAAAAATTATCAAAGTATTTGAATCAGAAGAGAATTGATATGGAAATTTTACAAACAAATTTTATAAAGAAATTACTTAATCTTGCATTATTGATAGAAGAAAATTAATGTTTCATTAAGTTATTAAATTGAAATATGTGAAAAGTTATCAAGAAAAAAAAAAAAAGAAGAAATTAAATTTCTGAGAAGTAAACAGAATTGAAGAAATAAAGAAGATACAAGGTACGTTAATTTTGAAATTTTTAAAATACGAATTTAAAATACATTTGTATAATTTTCATGAATGGCAGAAATAAAGCATATATTGATAAGATTAATTTGAAAAATAGACGAAATTTCTAAGATGGACATAATTATTTATATGGAAATCATTTTGATGCAAAAACACAAAGCATTCGAAAATTGCATTACCTATTTACAAGTAAGTAAATGATAAATTATCTATAAAATGTAAAATTAAAAAATATTTTCAATAAACTACTTCTCTTCACTGGAATCGATTCTTTTCGAATCAATCATATTTCTTTGTTCAGGTATTCTAATTTTAAGAAACAATAAAAGTCTTGAATAAATGTTTTAACATCACGAGAAGAGGAAAAGAAACACAAAAATTGTATTTAATTGTAAAAATTCGTAAATTATAAATAAATTATAAAGTATTCTTTTATCAAAAAATGATAAGTATAAACACATTAATATTTTAAAATTCTTTTGATCATCAAATTCACATTTTTATTATCATTAAGAAAACTTGGAAATTCCTAAATTTATAGTCTTCCTCTTATAACCTATTAAAAATTCGCATAAAATGTTTAAATATACCCAATTGTTTTCACCTTTCGTTGTATTCTCTCAACCATGAATTTTCCTTTGTTATTCCAGTTTTTCTCCCTCTTATTCCATTGAAAAGTTTCTTTACGACCTTACATCACTGCAATTCTTTTATCTTAATAAATCTCTTAAATAAAAAGATAACAAACGATTCAAGAAAATTTCTACGAATAAACGTTCAAATATTTAATCTACATTGTATTCGATATTCTAAATATCGCATTGTAACCATCTTAGATCGAATCATAGAAATCCTTATTCTGAATATTGAGCGATACTTGTTCTATTTTCACATTGATTTCAGCTTTCGATTATTCGGCCAGCTACTTCAATCGCGCCTCCTTGAAATACGAACTTGTTTGAGAACTTCCTTCATGGAGCACGTGATCCTCTATTGGATAGATACGCCTGATCGACAGCCTCTTTACGAGCTTACAAGCTATCGTTTATTCAATGCTATGTGAAACAGCATAAGGAGAGAACAGTTTAAATCATTGGCAAAGATACACCAGGTCGTTGCTCGAGTTTGTTAGTTTTGTATTCGTTTGTTTAACTTACTCCGTGTGCTCATGTTACCACTTTACAGAGTATAGTAGTTTTATAATGTTTCAGATTGCTTCAAAAGGCCACAAAAAAAAAATACATAAGAAAAAATCTTTTATAGAATAATAATTATGACACAATGATTTGAGTTGAAATTAACGATATGTATAGTTATATTAGATAGAAATTAAATGATACATGATAATGTTTTATAATTATAATTCCAAGAAAGAAAAAAAGTTATTCTGGATTTAATTCGATACTCTTTAATTATAATTAAATACTTCAAGATTATTAGTTTTAGATTCTTAGAAATTTATTGAAATGTGATCTCACAAAAGTTTACAATTGTTAAGATAAAGTTTATTTAAAGTAGTAACAAGAAATATTTTAAATTTTGATTAATTTTAAATATTAGATATTATAAACGTTCGTATAAATCTTCTACACAATTTCAAATATGTAATTCGTATAAAGAAGTATCAAACGAATTATACGTGTATTATGTGTAAAGATTCATAAAAAATGATTAAAAGTGTTATCGTATGGAGCGTAATATATAAATAATACAGATAAAAAATAATCACATAATATCTAAAAACAATAAGATAAAAAGTAGGATCAAGTAAATATTCATTGAAAATATGTTTTTAAATTAACTTTCAAGTAGAAAGAAAAACTCGATTTCATAATTTAGACAAAAAATTCTGTCTTAGACGACAAATCCAAATGTATTACTTCGTTCTTGTACATTTCGATAGTCTGTAAAAATAAAAATACATTTTTATATATACCATATTCAAGCTAAATAATTTGAAAATAGTGAAAAAAAAAAAACAAATTTAATATATTTTACAATTAATGATATTTAAACGATTAGTATAATAATTGATTGTAAAATATATTTAGTCTATCATTTTTATTCCTACATATTATTGATAAAAAATTAAAAAGAAATTATTTTTTAAAATGAAATTATGAAACTTTACCAAGTCAATATTGGTATCCAATTCTGCTACTTGTTTCTCGTGAATTTTTGTCAATTTTTCCTTCTCACGTCCTTGTTTGATCTGTACAGTTTTTCTTTCTTGCATGAATTTTTTTGTATTTTGTTCCTTTTTCTCACGAAGTCGACGATCCTTGTCTCCCTTAGTCTTTAATGCTTTATCGTTCATTACTTCTTTAGCTGTTTCCACGGATATTTTTGCTTGATTCGCGTTCATGTCTTTCATATCTCTGAAATTAGGAAATAATATTATTAAGTTTTTATCAAATATTAAATAATATCAGTCCAATATCATATAATAATAATAATTACATAAATAAATAACGAATAATAAAATTATGAAAAAAGATTAACTTCACAAATTAATTAAGCAAAATTTTTTTTTAATTTTAATTTTACTCGAGCATTTGAAATTTCAAGAATTTCATATCTCAATTATATTCCCAAAAAATTTAGAAAATTTAATTTAAAATACGAACGAAAAAGTATTTGCAAATTTTGAATTTATAAAAATTTTATTAAAATTAAATAAAATTATAAAGTCTTGCGTACTTGTCGTGTTTCGCTTGTAACTGTTTAACTTGATTAGCCTGTACAATGTCAATTAATCTTTTGAATTCGTCTCGACCAACTTCTGTATGACTTTTCAGCATTTCCCATTCTTCTTTCCGTTGTCGTTCCACCATGGCGGACCATTGCGCGGTTTGTTCACTTATAACTTTTTTCACGTTAGCGTCTTGGAGCAGCGCATTTTTGCTATAAATTCAAAATTCATCATGATCGGATTAGATAATTTTTAGTTAAAGAAATTCAAAGTTTTCGCTCGTTACATACTCTTTTCCCTTCACCAATTTATCTATGGCACTGCAATGATTTTTCTGCATCGTTTGTCGCTCCTTCAAATGCTTTTTCCTCATTGTGTCCAATTCTTTTTGTTGCTTCTTACCGAATTTATACGTTTTTTCTTTCTTCAACGTTTCTATCGTAATCGGTTCTGGCTTGAATTCCTCTGAAAAATTATATAAATGAAAAATTTTGAAAGAAATAGATACAGATTAGAGATTAGATTATTAGATGTTGAATCTTGCAAGAATTATTTAAAGAATCAATCAAGCTTTTATCCATATTTCACAATATTTGCTTCACACAATCATCGTACAAAAATATTCTACTTTCGTAATAAAGATATTTTTAAATTTTCTGTGATAAATCCAAAACTATGAACAAATAATTTAATTAATAGTGACAATTATAAAAAATTTACAAGTTTTGAGACAATCTCGTTTCAATTTTTATGAACACAATTTATTAAAAGAAAAAAATATATGTATATACCCTTTTTAGCCTTCTCCTCTTCCTTCTTCTTCGCCTCTGCCTTCGCGTCGGTTTGCTCGATTCCTAATCCCTTCATAGTCTCGGCTTGTTTCTCTGCTCCCTTACTAAATGCACCCGGATCAGACAGAGCAGCCATGAAATCTGCAAGTCGAGAAAGCGTGCTCGAATCACAGTCATCGTGATATATTTCTATTTTTGTTCTTGCTCAAGGTATTACCTTCGAATCCATCGGGTACGTAAATCTTTAGCTCAATGTTGCAGAATAACATCGGCAGTGCCATGGGGAAATTCGCCTCGGTCTTCAACGAAATATGTCTATATCCGGCTTGAAGGCCATCCAGCGGCAAAATACGTTGACCCAACAGTTTCCCGCTCTCTTCGTATACACCTATACGAACAATAAATGTCAAGTAGAATGAAGAAATCAAAATTATACGATTATTTTCTGATAATGAAGAAACAAGTTGTTTCTTTAATCATTATTAAATTTAAGAGATAGTACACGATCTTTTGTTAGAATAAATGATCAATTTTTTTTTATGTATTGCAACAGCATTAATCCTAGAACAATAAAATTCTGAAAAAAGAATTCATTCAGAAGAAAGAGGTAATAGAGAGGTAATATTTAATGAATGTTAATATTAAGAAATGATACGAATGTAAAGTTTCATTTCAAAATTTTGCAAAAAAAATTTATTCAATATGGAAAAGTGTTGTTTGGATTAAAAATTGTTAAATTTAAAATATGACTAGATTAAATTTATAAATTTAAATAATATTTTATAATGATTAAGTCTAAGAATAAGTCTTTTATACTGTGGACTACATTTTATTGTATTTTAAGGAAAAGTATCTAGATATTTTACTTTATATTGCAATTTATTGGTTATAAATATTCCATAGCGTAAATCTTGTTAAAATTGTTACGTATTGAATATTGAAATTACCAAATCTGAGCACAGCCAGGTCGGGAAGTACAACTTTTCGGAATAGAAATGGTTCTTCGTTGTAAACTGGATTCAAACCATTTCCAGGCACCATTCGAGTTCTAAATTCTTTCTTTATCGTGTCTGCTGGCAAACCGTACATATCCACTTCAACGTAAGTGCCGACTTTTTTGTCAGACAAGAATTGTCCTGCTATAACCTATGATAAATAGAATATAGCGTATTAATACAATAGGTATTCACCATTCTTTTAATTATAAAATTTTTCCTTATATTTGTATAATATTATAAAAATAGAACTAATAAAAATATTGTTTGTAATATCAATTTATAATGAAATTAAATTTTCATTTGAAATTACCTGAACGGAACATTGGGCTGTGATAACTCCGTCTACGTCTTCTGAAAATGGATCGAAGCTTCTGTCCGGTCTCCTCATGAAGTCAGGCTTCAGTAAATATCCAGTTGTTGCATTATATTCGAATTTTCCTTGATTTAATTGCATAGGCAAGTCGGGTGTTTGAAAATTTAATGCTACCATCTGACAGCCTGCATTCCAGAATACCTAACAGATATATAAACGTTAGTATAATCTTTATTAACTTTATTAGATTCTTTGAAAAATTTATATTCGACGAAAGAATTAAAAGAAAAATAAAAAGTGATAGGAATTTATAGTATAATAATTATTCTTTACATTTTCAACTTTTCTTTTATTTCTTTTCGAGTTATGATATTTATTTTGTATTTTATTATATTTTTCATATACATATTTATTGTGTATTTTAAGTTTATTTTAATATTATTTAATAATAATATCTCATATTTCAATAAGATAATATATCGAACTGTTTGCAATCTCCAATACTTGATAATTTTATTTTTTTTGTATAGTCTAATGCAAAATAAACTAAATACATTAAAATTATTTAAGTAAAAAATCACTTCTGTTTATTAATTTAATTAAAAATTTAAACTATTGTTCGAGTATATCATTTATTTTAATTCTTGCAAAATTATTTTTTTATAATAAGAATATTCGAAAAATTTGCAAATATTTTAAAATCACTTGTAATTTGTAAACAATTTTTTCATAAAAAGCTACCAAATAAGTGGCAACAATCGAACGAAATAAATAATCATGTGATAAAAATATATCATTTGATAAAATATTTAATAATATTATAAAAATTTTGACTTAAATTTTTTTTTAAATTTTGTTACAAACATTTCAAATAACACGATATAAATAATGACTCACTTGTGGCATGTAGTTTGATGAATCAGCCCTAGTACCTTTTGGATAGATTCGACTCATTTGACGTTTATTATAATTAACAAATTCTATGGCATTTGTTTTCAGGTAGTTGAGTGCTGCGGTCTCCGAAAACGAGGACATGTTATGATGGATATTCTTTTCTGCAACAATAATGGACGTTTTTTCCTTCATCATAGGTACGTTCAATTATTGAAATTATTATTTTATATATTAAGTATTACAATCGAAATTACATAAAATAATTATTAAAGATATTTTATTTTTATTTCGTGATATTAAGAAGAAAAATATTTTTCATTAATTCGACTTCAAAAAATTTAATATTATTTTTTAGTTTTGTCAAATAATTTTTTATATTATTTAAAACCTTGTTTCAAATAAATCATTCAATTCTATTATTAACTAAGTAAACATCAACGTCTTGCTTTTAGAATATTTTCAGGAAATTTATTTTTAAGCAACTTTGAAATCTTGCTATTTTTAAAAAATTTTTCTTGTTCTTTTTTTTATTTTATTTTTTTTAATCTTTTCATTTAACAAGATCAATAACTATATATTTATAATGTAAAATAAAAGAGAGAGATAATCAAATGAAATAATTTTTATTAATTAATTTTAATTTTCATTAAATTTTTTCTATTAAATTCTTTTCGTTAAATTTCCTTATTGTGTTCTTTACTTTATTATTATTTATTTGAAATTTCAGAATAATATATGACGGAATTGATTTTACTTCAAATTTTGTCGTATTTTCGTATAAAATAATAAATTGTAATAAATTTGATGAATTTAACAATCATAATGCGTTCAATTGCTCCTTGAATATTTGTAAAATCTCTGTGAAGAACACTTCTGTTAACATTGTTTTTTGGATAAAAATAATTATTATTATATTTTTTATTCGTCTATTTTATTTTATCAATCGAAGAATTTGAAACAATCAACTATATTGCTTATAAAAATTAATAAAATTTTTATTTTATTATATTATTTTTATCATATAATATTTATGATTATAAAAAATAGATATTAATAATATCTATATTTCTAACAACATTCTATATTAATATTTTGCAAAAGAAAAAATTTAAAAAGAAATGATTATATCTAATAATGATATAGATTCAAATTTTTATTCGTGTATAAGAAATGAAGAAACTTATAGTAATAACTAAATAATAACTTCTAACAAATTATTAAGTGTTTTTAACATTAGTGTAAAGTGTA